GGGCGGTTGCGAAAGACGAAAAGAAAAGGTTTGATCTCCCACGGAATTTGATTTCCCCTCACTGGGAATACACACAAACAACTAATGTGCTTGCAAAATTTGAAAAAGAAGATAAAAATAAAAATAACAAAATTTGCATGGCAAGGGTGGACATGCAACTGAGTCAGTGCGAGTTGTGTGTCGATTTTCTGTAGACTCTAAGAGCAGCCCATCTGTCATCTGCGGGAAGAAAACACACACACTCTCTTGATTCGCGAGAGAGACTTGGGGATAGTGTGTGTAAGCTCACAATACTACTATAATTTTATGGTGCATAGGGTTATACTAGCGCCGAAAAAAGCGCAGCGTCACGCTGCGCCCGTAAGAGAGCCCGTTTGAATTTTTGTTGTTCGTTTGGTTAAAGAAAAGGAATAGGAAGTGAAGCGAAGAGGTTGGTTGAGTGACCTTTTCTACGACGAATAGTTTCGTGCAGGTCTTTGGGTAGTTTCTTCTGATTGAACGTGTAGTACATCCTTTTCAGCAATTAATCTATTATTAGTATATTTCTATCAAAAGAAGCAAGAAATGGTTTATTTTTTCGTAAACTATTAAGAGGGCTTATTCAACAGTTGACCCTGAAGAGAATGTTTAGGTGCTTCACACTTTGGATTGTCGAGTGGCAATGACACCTTACATGCTATATCTTCATCTATATTTGGTTATATTCTATGGAATGTTTGGACAAAATTATAGTAACTCTTTGTTCCTATCTATATTATGGATCAACTTCGCTATCTTATGTTTTGACACACCGTTCTCTTACAAAGCCATGAAAATGAACCTCATTTAGTATGAAACCTTTTTGTTATAAACATTTAATTCTTACTTATAAGGTGCTCCTGATCGAATGAATGAGAATTTAGGTGGTAAGTCTTCTCACCAAGTTTGTTCTAATAAGATTATTGTCTTGTCAACTTTGAAGCAAAATATAATTAAGTAGTTTATGTTAGAAGAAGATATACAATGCACCATATTGATCGGATCAATTGTCTAGACATAGAATATATACAAAATCAAGTTTTGCTTTGTCTTTATCCATAGAATATGCTCACTAAAAGAGATAAATTTTGCATTGGATAGGTAAAATATTACTCTTCTCTCGATTGTACGTAGGAAAGAAAAGCGTGGACCGGGAGGCGCCCCCAAATCCCCGCCGGCAGGCTTCCCGTCTCCCGTCCCTTCCCTCGCCGCCGCCACAGGGCGCGACCGGGCGAAGCCCGGCCGGCGGCGGCGGCGGCGGGGCCCCCTTTGCCTCCTCGTGCAGCAGTTCTTCGCGGGCGGACGTGGCTGCTTCGAGGTGTGGTGCAGCGGCGACGGGGCACCACAGCGCGGCGCACGCCAGCGGTTCGAGGCGGCGGCAGATCGGCCACGCGGTAGGCTGTGGATGGCGGCGCATCGGCGACCTCGCTTCCCCGCGGCAGGAGGTCTCGCGATCTGGTGCGTCGCGGCCACCAAGGACGGCGGCGGAGTGACCGGATCGGTTCGCGGCGGCGCGGCCGGATCTATGCCCATGCGTGGGCCTTGATCGCTGGTCTGCCGTCGGCACGGTGGTGGGTGCGACTCATCGGCAGCTGGGCAGATCCGCGGGATTCTACCCTTGTCTGGTCCTTGACAGCGTGGGCAACTCCGGGGGAAACTCTAGATCTCTTTGGGATCGAACGATGGCAGCGCTTTTGCGTCGTAGTCCCTCTTTAGGGCATTGTTTTGGAGTTTACTCCGGTTGAAGGGACCAGCGACGTCGGCGGCGCACGTCTGGTGGAGCAATTGCCGATAAAAATCGCGCCGACTACGGTCATGGCGGACGATGGCGGCATCTTATGTCGTTCCCTTATCGAGGCATCGTCATTGCAGTCTGCGTCATCAGGTTCGGGATGCTCCGAGGGAAACCCTAGATCTGGGTCTTCCGGATCAGACGATGATGGCGTTTTATAGCTTTCCCTCCTGGGGGCATCGTTTTGGAGTAAGTGCTGGCTAGGGGGATGGTGGAGCGGTGCTTCATCTCACACATTGATGGCGGCGGATATCGGCGGCATGGCGCTGTGGAGGCTCGGCGTCCGATGCACGGAGATGGACTCGCGCAGGAGGAGGTTGCTGTCCGGCGTCATGGTGACGTCGATGGCAGAGTGGCCAGACAAGGTAGAAGCCTCAGTATGATCTGAAGACGGACCTGTGGAAGATGGCGGCGACGACACACGAGTGCCTCTGCCCGGATTGTGTTCCAGACCCGGCATGTGGCTCGGCTGGGGCTTCCGAATGAGTTTCGGCTTCCGGCTTTTGATGTTAGGCTTAGGTGAGTGGTTTGGGTAGTGGCCCAACTAGCACCCCTTCATCATTTTGAATAGGAATAGTGGCATATGCTGCCAAGATGGTGGATTCAGGCACATTGTTGTAATACTTTGTAAGGTCCTTGAGAATAATCAATAAAGTGGCCGTATGCATCTTCCAGATGCAGAGGCCGGGGGTCATCCACCTTTTCTAAAAAATAAGGAAAGAAAAGCATAATACAAAATAATCTTTTATTGACACTTTAGAATTTTTAATAGGGCATCCCATTAAATGGCAACAAAGTCCAATCTCTATGTTCTGGTGCTGCAATTACAAAATAGATAAAGGACAAATCAACAGGAATTTTTTTATTCAAGAAGGTGACGTACCATGAACGTTAAAATAACCTTTTGGGGGGGGGGGAGATAGAAACATTGTGGGATTTATTGCAGATTTATCCACCAGAAAAACGAAACACATTAGGAATCGAGAGAGAGATGGAGCAGGAGAGAGAAGGAGCGTCGGAAAGAACTGTTTTAGTAGAAGAAAGTGGTCGATGATGTCTCGCAAAGAGTGCTAACAAAGCAAGATGACGTACCATGAACGTAAAAAGAATTTTTTTGGGGAAAAAGATAGAAACGTTATGGGATATATTGCAGATTTACCCACCAGAGAAACGGAACACAATAGGAATCGGGAGAGATGGAGACAGGGCAGGAGAGAGAAGGGACGTCGAAAAGAATAGTGTTAGTAGAAGAAAACGACCGATGATGTCTCGCAAAGTGTGGCCAGTGAGTGAGATAAGCGGTGAGTGGTAGGACTCGGATCGAGAAATTTCTGAGGTAAACTGACCTACAAGTGTAATCACCCCACATAAATTTTCAACAGTGGGTAATATAAAAAATCAAAAAAGGAAACAATCCTTTACCACTTTTGTTTAAAAACATCTCAGGGTTTTTAAATATATTTTCCTCAGTTTTCTGTTCATGCAGATGCACAGGGTATTGTTCATTCAAAGTTATATTCTCTTTTTCCGGAGTGGGTATAGGTATATATTTCGGTTTATTCAGCGAGTATGTAAACACCAGTCACGCAAACACTGTTGAGTACGAAATTATTGTTTCGGGAATAGCGTTTTGACTTATTCAGATTTGTTTTTCTAGTTTATTTAGGTTACTGTGCTCCAAAATCATACTTCCTCCGTAAACTAATATAAGAGCGTTTAGATCACTATTTTAGTATTCTAAACGCTCTTATATTAGTTTACAGAGGGAGTATGTATTATTTCATTTAAACTGTTTGAGGAAAATAAAATCTTGGGGTACCAGTGCGTAAGAGCGGACCTAAAGAAAAATAAAATGAGAATTTTTTTAAACAAAAAAATCTATGATGATATTCAGTGCGTAAGAGCGGATCATATGTATTTCGTTTAAACCGTTCATCATAGGCACATAATTGAACATCACCTTTCCAAAAAAAAAAAGCCACACTCTTCCCGCTTTACACTGCTCATGTCCAGCCACTGTGCGTGTTAATGTTTAGTTACTGTTTACTGATATGGATTACATCTTGTTACTGTTCATCATCACTGTTGCTAATGTTGACGTTGCTGCAAAATGCACACTAGATGCCGACAAAAATTCAAAAAAACCAGGAAAAGCAAAGCCTTCCCGCTTTAGTATAGTAACTTATATGGCGCATTCGGCTTAAGCCGCTTAACGACTATCGTAGATAATATATGGTAGAAAAATACAAAACTAGTTTTTCTGTCAAATATATGAATATTTTTTAAAATCTATGAACATTTTGAAAACTTTATGAACATTGTTTGAAATTAAGATGACTATTTAAAAAAATTGAGAACATTTAAAAATATGGGTATGTTTATTTTTTTTTGAAAATTAGAAAACACAAATATTTAAAAAATGAATATGTTTTAAATTTTGTGAATACCATTTAAATTTCGTGAACAATTTTAAAAGGGTTGCCGAAGTGCAAAGTGAATATATCAATGAACGGTGATGATTGGAATGTTAGCGAGCCTCTATCAGCACCTACTACAAAGAAGAGGGGTATGCTTTTCTTGAGTCCAGATAGGCATAAATCTAAGAAATGCACTAAGGAAAAAAAGTAATAAGGCTCACAACATAGCTAGGTTTTGAGGGAGGTATTTATGGTTGGATACTCCTCATGACCCAACTATCATTCCTGTAAACATTGTGATAGATCAATAAAACCTAGATTTGTGTGCTAAAAAAACCCCAAAACACCTTGAGTACACTGACTGTGGAGGCCGGCTGGACAATTCACAGCCTGTCCATCGACTCGACTGATCCATAAATAATAATCTACTGACCCAAAATGGTGTAGCCAGTCCCATAGTATAATGATGCAGAGGCAGGACATTTCAACCTCCTTTTCAAAAAAGAAGAAGAATAAAAGCACAAGACGATTTGATTGATTTCGTAGCTAGAGACCACATGCATGGTGAAGCTCACAAACATCGATCTTGTGTAAATCATGTCACAAGTCATCCCTATACGTATAGATACACATACAAATAGATAGTGATCTACTTTTTTTTTGCGGGGGAGATAGTGATCTACTGATCTTGTACTTAGCGTAGTGTCAGGAATTTGCCCTGGCATCACTAGCCGACGCGACGGCAACTCAACTCTGATCTACCAGGAAGGATCCTACGCTAGCTGGAGACCCTCCAGGACCTTTGCGCCGCCGCGCCGCCGCTCCCAAAGGCTGGGGGCGTTCTCTTCCAAGGCCGGCCGTCTCACCACCGGCGCCGGCACCGGCAGCGGTGGGTCGAGCTCAAGCGGGCTCGGCGCACGGGCACCCCTTGCGCTCCCTGAAGACGACGTGTCACTCGCCACGTCCCGGACCTTGGAGTATGCGCGCGTCTTCCTCCCCGTCGACCGCCAGCCGAATAGCCCCATCAGCAGCCCCGCCAGGCTGCCGCACGGGAGGCCCGACGCCGCCGGTCCCCTCGAGGAGGCCGGGCAGCGTGCCCTCGAGCATCTCTGTGTGCCCTTGACCTGCCCCATGCAGCCGATCCTCGGCGACGCCGGCGCCGGCGCGACCCCGGTGTCGCCACGGTCACCGACGGCCACGTCCTTCTTGTCGAGCTGCGCCTTCTGCCATGCCGACGGGGACAGCAGGATCGGCGAGCGAGCGGGCGCGGCGAGCTTCTTGGCAGCGTCGCCCCTCGCCGGCGCAGGCGGAGCAGCCTTGATCGTCACGAGCCATGCTGGCTTCGGTGCCTCGACGTGGTGGCGCCGGTGCCGTGCCGCCATGGAGCTAGAGCTGGCTAGAACAATCGGCGCCTGCAGCTCGCTCTCGTGCTCTCCGGTCACCGGTGCGCGCAAGTGGAACTCGCGTCTGAAGTGTGCGAGGGGTTAACGGGTTGAAAGCTGGTTTATATGCAACGGGGCGGGCGTGTGAGACACGGTCCACAAAACGTTAGTACTCGTGAGTATTGTGATGATGACACGAATTGCCGAGTCAATTAGTCAAGTCGTTGTTGGCTCTAGGAACCATTGTAGCATGCCCATCTGTTCCACCAAAGGACAAGTAAAGTAGCTAGCCAAGCGGTCAGTATCGGTGCAATTTCCTCATGGCCGTCAGCACCTAATTCTTTTTTTAAGTACACACACAAACGACGCGCATACACTCACCCTTATGAAGGCACACACTCATATTCTACCCCTATAACTATATGAGCACCTTCGAAAGACTGAGCCGACATATCATCTTGAGATTTACGAAGTCACTGCAGGCGCCTCGTCGTCGACGGAAACGTCTCCTCCCACTGAATGTGAATCGCCGAAAATCCTGAAATAAATGCGAGCACCAGGATTTAAACCCTGGTGGGCTGGGGATACCACAGTCCCTCTAACCATCCAACCACATGCTGGTTCGCGCACGTAATTCTTTTCAGTTTTACTATTTCTCAGTTGCCTGTGAATTTGTTATGCATCACTCAATTTGCAAGAAGCCCCGGGCGGAGATGGGGGCACCATGACGAGCGGCAACGAGAAATGGGGTCACCGGCGAGGCCTCAGTTGGGAACAACCCGGAGCCGGTGACGATGCGGCAACGGTGACCCCGGTCGAGGGGACTTATAGGTGTGTTGTGTGCCGAGAAGAGTGGGGGGGGGGTGTTAGAAGGATTGTAGGGTGGCGACACATAGGCGGAGGTGGCGAGTTGAGAAAGGGTTGGGTGATGTACTATAATCAGCCGCAGGTGATGGAAGCAGGCGGTTCAACGAAATCTTGGCGGCACGGTAAGGAAGAAGAAGAGTACGCCGGGAGGAAGAAAGCCGTCGGATGTCGATCCAACGGCCCAGACAAAAGTGACTGAAAATTAAAAGAGGAAAAAAATTATGCACTGTAGCATATGTGGCCCCAATTCTCTTTGTCGTACGAACCACGAAGGGACGTTTCATAAAAATTGCACAGTTTGACTGTAGTGCTTCATTTTCATATAGGTTTTGGCAAAGCATTGACTAGAGGCGGCCGGTCCAGATTGATTCGCTTAGTCCAGATACTTTAAGCTAGCTATAGAGAGAGGAGTCTAGGATGATATACGACTTTTAAGTACAGACGTGTAGAATATCTATCAGTGATGTGCTCCTAGTGGTTACTGTCCGGCGACTGACCAAATCCAAGCCGTGGGGATGTTGTCAGGTTGACAGCAATGCAGACTTGAAAATGTGGACGTGTGGTTGACGGTCCTCCTCCCGGACCGACCAAGCCATGATTTGTGTAATCGCCATGACTGGACTGTGCACTATGGTTGTGAACCCACACCGCAGGAGCCCGCACGGCCACGAGAGAACCGAGAGAGTACTACTTCTGCAACGCATCTCCAACATCATAACCATTTTTTTTAATAACTTGTTTGCTAATTCCATTTCCTATTCTTGTTTTTCATTTAGTCCACAGTTATTTCTCTTCCAACATCTTGCTACAACATTAAGAGTGTGCTCTAATGGGTAAAATGTACTACTAATTTTAAGAGCCGGAACTGAAACATACATATATACATGTACTAAATGTAAAAAAAAAATCTTCTGAAATGAATAATCATATTGGTTACTCCCCCCGTCCCATAATATAAGAGTGTTTTTTGTCAAAAACACTTATGGGTGCAGTGTTTTTGATTAACATTTTGTTAGTTAAATCTTTGGTCAAAATTTGACACAAACTACGAAGGGAACCTATAAACCAGGACAGAGGTAGTATGTGTCATGCATGGTAATAAATAAAATACTACATTATACTAATATATGATACGATGCATTATGGAGGTAGTATCATACACTAGTATATAGTATATGATACTACGCATGATACTAGTATATGATACTTCCCATTACAACCAGCCTGAGGGGAACAGAAAGCGCCTCTTTTTTTTAAGAAGGGAACAGAACAGAAAATGCCTGGTTGGCTACTGTGCGCAGTGGGCCGGCCCAGCCAGCGCGTCGTCCCGATATTTTCTACCTCAATCTGTATGGGCCAAGAAGACTCCAATTTAGATCAAGCAAAGCCCAAATTGTAGGCGCTCCCTTTCAGCTTCGGCCCATGCGACAGATTCCGGTTGGTCGAGCTGCTCCGCTGCCGGCCGGCGCCCCTCGCCGCCTCCCTCCAGTCCGGTGGCCACCCCGCCCTCTCGCCGTTCAAGCTATCGAGCGCGCATCCAGAGCACACAAAAGAGAGCGCGCCCCCGCGCGCGCGATATCATTTCTCGCGTTCATCTCCCGCACCCCCGGCCCCGTCGCCCCGCGCGACACGGCGGTTGCGCGAGCCCTAGCGAATCTTCAGGCCCTCGGTGGAATCGAAATCAAGCTCGGGATGCTGGATCGCCGGCGGTCAGGCGGAGCGTGAATGATCTGGTGGTATGTCCTCTGGAGGTATTTTGTCAGTGCTCTTGCTTACAGATTTTCGGTGGATGTACCAGTCGCCCCTGTATTCTGCCAGTATATTGTAGCTAAGCGCAAATTGATGTGCTGTTTTTGCAGATTTGTATATAGTAATTACTTGCTATTGTCAAGGGTAGGTTACTGACCCTGAAAAAGCAGCTTACTGGCTTGCTCTGCGACTTGTTTGCCCTGTGTAGATTGAGCTCTGAATTAAAGTAGGGGTTATTATCAGTTTTATCCATTTAATTGTTGTCTAGCATGAGCTTGACTGGCATGATATATTTGAAAATACCATGATATATTTTTGGAATTTTCAGTATAGTTTCTCTGAAGATGTTTTCACAATAGGTTGTTACATGAAGTAGCGCTGCAAAACAGAAAAGAAAAAAAAATACTTACATGGAGTTGTTCATATCTGGACCAAATATGTGTAATGTTCTATGAAGTTTTAGCTCTATGGTCAACTAAGTAATGACTACTCAGATATAGAACTGATAATAACCCCTACATTTAATTATTAGCTGATGATAACCCCTATAGGTATTCACTTGTTGGCTTTGGTTTGTTCTTTGGAGTAGTTTTATATTTACGCTAGGTCCAACCCTGTTTAAAAGAAAATTACATTACCCTGGACACTTCCCACTTGAATTCTGCACAACCGTGATGTCCAATCTGAAAAGTACAGAATTACTACTACCTCTCATCAAGGCTGCTAGCTAGAAAAAGAATGCAGTGTACTTCTCTCATTCAGGAAGCGAACAACATAATGTTTAGCTGACTCAAGTAATATATAACAAGATCTAACTACAGGTGGATTCAAGCACAGACACACACACACAAAAAAAAAACTCATGGCTATTTATTGCTTGATTTACCTCTATCCATTGAATATATTAGAACAAATTACAATTGAAATCGGCTTAGCCGAAATACCTATATAACACTAGCTGATCATATAGCACGCCTACTCCAAAAAACAAACCAAAGCCAACAAAAAATATGACCTTGACGCTGAGCTGTTTTGCAGAGATAACGTAGACAACATCTGCTCCGGTTGAACTACAACGGTGAACAAGCATAGTGCCACACAGCTTTGGGTTCCCATCAAAACTGGAATCTGGAAATGTGCTCAACTGGCCTCCTGCTGGTACAGGCCCTTCTAGGTCATTGTTAGAAATGTTGAATGCAGAAAGGAAGTGAAGTCTCTCCAGTGCCGCGGGGATTACACCCCTCAGATGGTTATTAGACAAGTCTAGCACCTCCAACTTCGTGAGATTGCAGACCGACAGCGGAATCACTCCATATAATTTGTTAGAGCTGAAATCGAGTTCAGAAAGCACTTTCAGTTGACCAATCTCCGGTGGAATCACACCTGTGAAATTGTTGATGCTCAGATTCAAGAGAGTAGGGAAAGCTGTAAGAAAATGGTATTGGCGCGATATATTCCTCCAAAAGAGAGGTAGTTCAACTTGGCCAGGATCCAAATAAGCTGCTGTATTATCTTTGAGCATTGGGATCTCCATCAAGGTGATTGGGATTTGCCCGGTAAAACTGTTGTTTGATACATCCAGATAGAACAGGCTATGTAGGGAGTTGATCCAGCCTGGCATTGGTCCAGTAAGTCGATTGTTGGACAACTTTAGTACCTTCAAGTTTCTGAGCTTTGATAACCAAACTGGCAAGTGCCCAGTTAATGCGCTGTCGGCCATGTGGATATATTGAAGATTCCGAAAACCATCTAGGGTCTCATCTTGTGGCATCATCTCATTCACGAAGTTCTCGGCAATAATCAGAGTGGTGATGTTCCTGAAGCTATTGAAGACATGAAAAGCTTTTGTGATATTTGTAAAAGGGTTTCTAGCAAGTGACAGGAAAGATAGGTGCAGATTCCCTATTCTTGGTGAGATCTCACCATGGAAATGGTTCAACGACACCCGCAGTGCAATCAAATTGCTGCATGAGTATATGCTTTCTGGAACTATGCCACTGAAGTTATTTCTCAGAATATCTAAATGTGTTAGGTTCTGTAGGGTGGAGAAGTTGACCCTGCCTAGATCTCCACTGAAGTTGTTGATCTTCAGATCAATGACCATGAGACGCGTGCAGTTACTCAGAGTTGATGGCAGCTCCCCAGACATGTTATTGTTACCCAAATAGAGCTCCTCTAGCCTCTTCAACTGACCTATGGAGCCTGGGATCTTCCCACTGAATTTGTTTTCTCGGAGGTCGAGAGTAACCAGATTACTGAGTTTTACTATGTTTGCGCCATCAAGTTCTCCTTGTAATCCGTTGTTGGGGAAGGAGAGGTGCTCCAGGGAAGTGGCATGGAAGAGTTCAGCAGGGAGAGTCCCACTTAGGTTGTTGTGCCCAACC